AGAGACGGCCAGGGGAGAGAGAGCGAGGAGAGACGGCCAGGGGAGAGAGAGCGAGGAGAGACGGCCAGGGGAGAGCGAGGAGAGACGGCCAAGGGAGAGAGAGCGAGGAGAGACGACCAAGGGAGAGAGAGCGAGGGAGAGACGGCCAGGGGAGAGAAAGCGAGGAGAGGCGGCCAAGGGCGAGAGAGCGAGGAGAGACGACCAAGGGAGAGGGAGCGAGGGAGAGACGGCCAGGGGAGTGAGAGCGAGGAGAGACGACCAAGGGAGAGGGAGCGAGGGAGAGACGGCCAGGGGAGTGAGAGCGAGGAGAGACGACCAAGGGAGAGGGAGCGAGGGAGAGACGGCCAGGGGAGTGAGAGCGAGGAGAGACGACCAAGGGAGAGGGAGCGAGGGAGAGACGGCCAGGGGAGTGAGAGCGAGGAGAGACGACCAAGGGAGAGGGAGCGAGGGAGAGACGGCCAGGGGAGTGAGAGCGAGGAGAGACGACCAAGGGAGAGGGAGCGAGGGAGAGACGGCCAGGGGAGTGAGAGCGAGGAGAGACGACCAAGGGAGAGGGAGCGAGGGAGAGACGGCCAGGGGAGTGAGAGCGAGGAGAGACGACCAAGGGAGAGGGAGCGAGGGAGAGACGGCCAGGGGAGTGAGAGCGAGGAGAGACGACCAAGGGAGAGGGAGCGAGGGAGAGACGGCCAGGGGAGTGAGAGCGAGGAGAGACGACCAAGGGAGAGGGAGCGAGGGAGAGACGGCCAGGGGAGTGAGAGCGAGGAGAGACGACCAAGGGAGAGGGAGCGAGGGAGAGACGGCCAGGGGAGTGAGAGCGAGGAGAGACGACCAAGGGAGAGGGAGCGAGGGAGAGACGGCCAGGGGAGTGAGAGCGAGGAGAGACGACCAAGGGAGAGGGAGCGAGGGAGAGACGGCCAGGGGAGTGAGAGCGAGGAGAGACGACCAAGGGAGAGGGAGCGAGGGAGAGACGGCCAGGGGAGTGAGAGCGAGGAGAGACGACCAAGGGAGAGGGAGCGAGGGAGAGACGGCCAGGGGAGTGAGAGCGAGGAGAGACGACCAAGGGAGAGGGAGCGAGGGAGAGACGGCCAGGGGAGTGAGAGCGAGGAGAGACGACCAAGGGAGAGGGAGCGAGGGAGAGACGGCCAGGGGAGTGAGAGCGAGGAGAGACGACCAAGGGAGAGGGAGCGAGGGAGAGACGGCCAGGGGAGTGAGAGCGAGGAGAGACGACCAAGGGAGAGGGAGCGAGGGAGAGACGGCCAGGGGAGTGAGAGCGAGGAGAGACGACCAAGGGAGAGGGAGCGAGGGAGAGACGGCCAGGGGAGTGAGAGCGAGGAGAGACGACCAAGGGAGAGGGAGCGAGGGAGAGACGGCCAGGGGAGTGAGAGCGAGGAGAGACGACCAAGGGAGAGGGAGCGAGGGAGAGACGGCCAGGGGAGTGAGAGCGAGGAGAGACGACCAAGGGAGAGGGAGCGAGGGAGAGACGGCCAGGGGAGTGAGAGCGAGGAGAGACGACCAAGGGAGAGGGAGCGAGGGAGAGACGGCCAGGGGAGTGAGAGCGAGGAGAGACGACCAAGGGAGAGGGAGCGAGGGAGAGACGGCCAGGGGAGTGAGAGCGAGGAGAGACGACCAAGGGAGAGGGAGCGAGGGAGAGACGGCCAGGGGAGTGAGAGCGAGGAGAGACGACCAAGGGAGAGGGAGCGAGGGAGAGACGGCCAGGGGAGTGAGAGCGAGGAGAGACGACCAAGGGAGAGGGAGCGAGGGAGAGACGGCCAGGGGAGTGAGAGCGAGGAGAGACGACCAAGGGAGAGGGAGCGAGGGAGAGACGGCCAGGGGAGTGAGAGCGAGGAGAGACGACCAAGGGAGAGGGAGCGAGGGAGAGACGGCCAGGGGAGTGAGAGCGAGGAGAGACGACCAAGGGAGAGGGAGCGAGGGAGAGACGGCCAGGGGAGTGAGAGCGAGGAGAGACGACCAAGGGAGAGGGAGCGAGGGAGAGACGGCCAGGGGAGTGAGAGCGAGGAGAGACGACCAAGGGAGAGGGAGCGAGGGAGAGACGGCCAGGGGAGTGAGAGCGAGGAGAGACGACCAAGGGAGAGGGAGCGAGGGAGAGACGGCCAGGGGAGTGAGAGCGAGGAGAGACGACCAAGGGAGAGGGAGCGAGGGAGAGACGGCCAGGGGAGTGAGAGCGAGGAGAGACGACCAAGGGAGAGGGAGCGAGGGAGAGACGGCCAGGGGAGTGAGAGCGAGGAGAGACGGCCAGGGGAGAGAGAGGAGAGATGGCCTGGAGAGGGAGAGAGGCGAGACAGCCTAGAGAGGGAGAGAGGCGAGACAGCCTGGAGAGGGAGAGAGGCGAGATGGCCAAGAGAGAGAGTGAGGAGAGACAGCCAGGAGAGAGAGAGGGGAGAGACAGCCAGGAGAGAGTGAGGATAGACAGCCAGGAGGTGAGAGAGAGATTGGAAACATTGTACAAACCATCAGAGCCCAATCACAACGGAGGTCTACACCCGTACTGTGCACAAAGCACAGCTGCATACGAGCCGGAAACACCAGGACCCCGTGGTTGTCCCTGTCCACCTGACATTGTGACATCTTATGTCCAGGTTTCAGCTGGCCTGAAACACAGACACAGCACATACAGAACTCAAAACCCTGACTGTCCGGGTGAATCCCAGACAAGTAGCAACCCTAGAGCAGAGTGACATGGTGATGAGCTCATAAGGGCCTGTATCAATGGATTTTAGACTTGTGTTGATGACCGGTGTGAGATCATTCAGAATTCATTGAGCGTTACATTTGACTTGCAGTTGACTTCCTTCTGACCTGCTTAAAGAGGGTTTGCATTCCCATGCACTCTTACAGGAATGCAAAACCCGTTTAAAGCTGTAGGCACAAGCTTTCCTCTCACTCCCTGTTCCAAAGACACAGCAGGAAGTGTGTAATAACTTTTCCCAAGGTGAGAGGAAATCCCCTCTTGGACAGTTACTGTGCTGCTTAGTAAGGAATGGTTACATCCAATTGGAAGATTTGCCTTCTCTTCTTGCTGTGATGACAACTCAAAATTTCAGATTTTTCCATCCTTTTGGTCCCAGCGAGTGTAGTCACCAGGACAAACAGAGACATTGGCTATCCTAACGGAGAGACAGCAGTAAAATCCTGATGGGGTCCTAACCCCGCACCACCCTGGGCTTTAGGTACACCGTACATCAGGGTTGGGCAACGCTTGCCTTCCAGCTGTGCTCTAACCACAGATCCCATCATGCCTCTACCTCTGAGTCATGGCAGTAACTGTCAGAGTCTTGCAATGCCTCATGGGACTTGTTGCCCACCATTGCCTTACAGAACTGATGAGATTTTTTACACATGCCGTAGGAAATTTCTGCTGAAACTGAAGCCGACACGAAAGATGTAACAGGACGGGGCTGCTCTAGGGGCACCAGTCCTCGAAAGAAGCCAGAGGAAATTGATGTTTGGGAAAAAGTGAAACCTTATCCTGCGTTTGTAGCTCGCAGATGTAGGAAATGTTCTGCAGCAGATGGAGCGTGTGACGCAGCGCGCCGCTCGTACCACCAGGTGGAGCTGGATTTAATAGTACATCGGGCTCTAGCAAAAGAGCTGGGAGGCCTCGTAATGACGGGGTCCGCTCCATCTGCATTGTAGCCGTTCCCACTGCGCTGGGTTATAAGTGAATGAAGAGGTGTTATGGAGAAAGAGGGAAAAGGACTTCATTGAGAAATACAACATCCAGATAGTCTAATTATACCTTCCATCAAACATGGCCATTTATTTTTCTTTAAGGCTGGACTCCGGATCAACAAATACTGTCCTCATACAAGAGTTCTGTGTATTCTTCTTGACGAGCTTTGTGTATTTCTCTGTGCAGTGATCCAGTGTGAGACCTGGAGCTTCCTGTAATAAAGACCGCTCACTGCTGCTCTCTTTCCTTGTGCAGGATGACTGGTCTTGTCTCTGCCCCTCCTGTAGTTTTCTGCAGGCAGCCTGTAGTGGGTGGCGCCTGTTGGGTCCCTCCTACAGCTCTGCTCTCTCGCTCTGCAGGATGACTGGTCTTGTCTCCGCCCCCTCCTGTAGTTTTCTGCAGGCAGTCTGTAGTGGGTGGAGCCTGTTGGGTTCCTCCCACATTTTCCTTCCTGCACAGGCTGTGTGCAGCACAGTGATGATGTCACTGCTATTTTTACAAGCAAGCTTCCCTTCCTGTGCCTGTGTGTTTGTGGAGACACACACAGCTTACTAGCACACACAAGGGTGGCCCCATATAACCCTGCAAGGGAAAGGAGCCACCCTAAAACAGGATATCAGGTTCAAGGCTTAGGGGAGCAGCTGATTCTGCAGGAAAGACTTTTAAAATCAAGAAGAAGCATTCATTATAAGCAATTTAAACAACATTTCAAATGGCTAAAAAATGTTTGTAACATTAATATCACTTAAAGCTGGGCATACACAGCTCGAATTTTGCCCAATTCAGCAGATTTGAGCTGTGGGTGGCCCTGATGGCACCACAATTACATTTAGGCTACAGCTGGGCTTCAAGCATTGAGGTGCACCCAAAACAAAAATGAACCCTTTGAAATGTATGCAGAGAACACAACCTAACTGCTCAGGATGTACGCTTTGTCATATCTCTCTATGATCTGAGAACCCCAAACTTGGTGGCCAGACAACTGTTCCCAAACACACCCTCTGTAAGCCTCCGGCTGTCTCAGTATACATTGTATAAATGTCAAATATACAAAGATTGATGGAAAAAGAAGTATCACTATTAAGATGTCTGAATGTGATTTGTGAAAATAGAAAGTATAGAGAGGAACGTGTACGGCCCAGACTACAGAATGTACACTCCCCGTCACCCTGTGAGGTGCTGTCTGCATTCTGCCTGCAGTAGGTAATAGAGAATATTTTATATTCTTCTAGTGTAAGTTAAAGAAATGAAGATATCGTTGCTTGGTGTTATATCATATGTGTTGTCTCTCTCTTTATTGGGGTATTAGACTTATGAACAGAACGAGTGGCTAATCCACCTGGCCGGGAAACTGCTTGCCAATGATGAAACCGCAACTTCACTTATGGCCACCAACCCCTTCCGGGACAAGGATCCTCCCAGGTAAGTCTCCTACGTTTTATTTCAAGCAGAATCTCGCTCAGCACCTGCAGGTCCGCTCGTAGTATATCCATGTACTTGTGGGGGATAGGCTTTGAAGCCCCAGTCTATAGAAGAACTTTAGTCGAGAATTGTCCTTAAAAGAGAACTATGGGGTAACCTTTTTATCCCATAGTTCTCTTTAGGGTCACAGGAGGACATATACTAACGTGCTCCAGTGACCCAAAGCTCGGTATATAGCAGGCTATTGCCCGCTATATACTGAGAGCGCCGCAGCCGAACCCGATCCTGATAATACTGTTGAGGTCCACCCAGCTGCGTGAGTGACAGCGGGCTCTGCCTATCTAGAGGCAGAGCCAGCTGTGCCCGCCCCCTCCCCCGTCCGTTCCGCCAGTCAGAACTGGAGGATCGGAGCGGGGAGGGGGGGAATCCCTGCGGGGAGCAGTGACTGACAGTCATGGATCTCTGCAGGGAGATGATCAGGAAGTGAGCGAGTGACGGTATGCGTTCACTCACTTCCGATCTATCGAGCCGACATGTGACGGTTTCATTGTCACAGGTCGGCTCCAACTATGAGGCTGAGTGGAAATCACTCCCCTCATAGTCCTCCTTTAAACACACGCAAGGGACATGTATGACCATGGAATCATGCACAGGAATGGGTAAGAGCTTTCAGTGGAACACATTGCTTCCCAGCCGGTGATCACTTGGCCAAGCAGTGTTACCCGAGTGCTGCCTGACTACAACAAACCAAACTGTCCTTCAATCATTCCAACCAATCCTAAACTCATCTACATTCATTAAGAGGATACAACCACGCCCTCCCACTATAACAGCTCCGAGTCACTCAACAAGAGGCTGCAGACCTGCCCAGAAGTGCTGAGAAATGCCTGCTGCATCTACCTGCATTGTGTTCTACAACTTCAGATACCTGAGTAGGGATTTTCTGACATTAGCACGATTGCAGTGTCTGCTGGAAAGAATGATCAGTCCATTGATCGGTTTTGTTCCTGTTTGGCAACTGTAACAGTTTTCGCCTCATCCCTGAGGGCGCTGTGAAACAAAAAATAAATGCAGGAAATGAAAAAGAGTTGTGTTGTTCATAGCCCTCAGATGTAATCATTTTCCATCCTGTCCTAGAAGAACGATGCCGGGAATCTGGTAGGTTGCTGTGGACGACACAGACCACGTTCTTGTCAGCCTCTCTGTGGCGGCTCTGGCACTGCAGGGGTTAAGTACTTAAAGTGTATCGCTGGAGCTACTGCAACATAAAACGAATTACCAGAGGGCTCGCAGCGACCAAAGCTCTACACACTTTATTGCTCATTTGGCTTTATTGCCTAATACTGTGGCCTGCTCAACAAGTCAGATAATCATAGCCTGGAACGGGGCCAGGTCATAGCATGTATTCCATTACACCTCCCCCCCTCCCCCATTCAATCCAATGAGGACGCCGGGGTCCGACTTCTCCTTAAGTCTGCTCACCTCATCACTACCGAGCTCGCTAATTCAGTCTTGTTGGCAGCTTTGGGAAACACGGATTTACAGGATCAATATCTCTATCATCTCTCTCTGCATCATCCATCAATCATCTGTTTCTCTACTGTCTGTCACGTATCTCTATCATCTGTCACGTGTCTCTACATCTCTATCATCTGTCGTGTGTCTCTATATCTCCATCATCTGTCATGTATCTCTACAGCTCTCTATTATCTGTCATGTATCTCTACATCTCTCTACCATCTGTCACATATCTCTACCATCTGTCACATATCTCTACATCTCTCTACCATCTGTCATGTGTCTTTACATCTCTATCATCTGTCATGTATCTCTACATCTCTACCATCTGTCATGTATCTCTACATCTCTACCATCTGTCATGTATTCTTACATCTCTACCATCTGTCATGTATCTCTACATCTCTATCATCTGTCACATCTCTCGGCTGTTTACCTCCATCTCTTTCTCTTTATTTCTCTCTCTATCCGTCATCTCTCTCTTTTTACCCATCATCCTTTCCTCCTTCTTTCTATATCTCCCTCTGTCATTTCTCTCTCCACCATCTCTCTTGCTCTCTGTATTATCTCTCTGCTTCTCTCTATCATCTCTCTCCTTGTATACAGTATCTCTCTCTTTCCCTTATTATCTCTTTTTCCCCAGTCAGATCTTTCACCCTCTTTTCTTATTTCCCCTTTATCATTTTTCATCTCCCTATCATCTCTTATTATATCTCACTTTTCCTCTATCATCTCTCTCACGTCTATCATTTCCCTCCTATTATATCTCTCTGTTTCCCCCCCTATCATATCTTTCACCCTCTATTTTCAGTTTATCATCTTTCTCACACTCTGTCATCTCTTTCCTGTTATCAGTGCTGTCTTTAATATTGATTGGCCCCTGGGCAAACATTTTCTTGGGCCACGCTGTGTCCCACCCCTACCATGCAATTTCGCCCCCGCCATGCAATACTACCCGCTATATGCTGAGCGCTCAGAGCCGTGCTGCAGCTGGGACAATATTGTTGGGATTCACCCCGCTACCCGATTGACAGCTGGCTCTGCCTCTCTACAGCCAGCTGTGCCCGCCCCTTTCCCATCTGTGTCTCCAATCAGAGCTGAAGGAACAGAAAGGAGAGGGGGAATCCCTGCGGGGAGTGATGACTGACAGTCACCGCTCTCTGCAGGGAGGTGAGCGATCAGTGGTGTGTGATCACAGTTCTCGATCAATAGAGCCGACATGCGACAGCTGAAGCTGCATAATTATGGGGATGAGTACATTTCACTCTCCCCATAGTTCACCTTTCAGGGTAAATGTGTGGATAATCTGCCACCTACCACTTCCACTGCATGGAATGACAACAATAATAATGACACCTGAGCATGCCCCCTGGTGTCATCATTATTATTATTGCCAGGCAGCATTCCCGTTGCCCAGCAGTGTCATACATTCCTATGGAACATCCAGAGACAGCCACTATGATGGAAGATGGGGTAATGGTGACACATTGGATGATGGGTATGACACCCCACCCTGAGCCCCTCAGCTGTTGTGATGGCCACAGTGATGTCATATGACGTCACCAAGTCGTGATGCCACACCCCGCCTAGATCACACATCTTTCCTTATTTAATATTTAGTCCAACAACTCAACCCCTTGAACATGTCGGCATGCTTTAGTCGTTCACAAGCACATGATGCATCCATCTTTTATATGGCCATGTACATGAACAAGCAAAACAGCTCTTCCCAAATGTATGTTCATATATGGGGACCAGTGTGCTCTCTTAAGGTCATGGTTGGGGGCCCATCATGTCTTAGGGGGCTATGGGATTACCTGCCAATGGCAGTTCCTTCCCTGTTTGGCATCCGTATCCTATGGGTCACTGCTCTGCACATATTGTTCCATCAAATGGTGTGAGTAAAGTTTAAAACCCTATCATTTACTCTCTCTATTGGTCCTGGTGACCAATGACACCCGCTCAGAAATCCAAAATTTGCCATGGATGGCAAATCCAAAATGTTACATCTCTGGATCAGAAAATGATCTTACCAAGAACAGTTTAGACTTTGGTGGCAATTATCTCATTTTGAAGAGATTTCTTGTCACTTCCTGTTTTGTCTGCAGAACAGGAAGTGAAGGAAAATCTCCCCAATACAGCAAAAAAATAGATATAAAACCTGACAGGGGTACTAAACATTCCATCTCCTATCAAAAACTAAAAGAATTTTTGGTGTAGACACTCTTTGAATAAAGCCAGACGTGTTGTTGGATTTGTGACACGTTTTGAATTTCTGCTGCATTTTCCTTCCAATATTCTGTTCCCCTCTCATATGTTTTGCTGGAAATCTCGCCTCCGTACCGCACGTCCCTGGTCACCTACACGGCGACATATATCCTATGAGGCGAGGATATTAAAACGCATAGACACCCCTTTTTGGCTTGATATAAAGACCTTTTTTTTTTTTGTACCTGCTCCCACAGAGTCGTCCATTAAAGGCGTCAATTAAAGCGTCTCTTTGACCTGACGTGATTTATTAGCGCTGGTGATATACGAACACGCGTTCCCGCTGTAAAAACATCTCGCCTAACCCACAAAGGAGTCACAGCGAAACGCTAGATTCAATCTCAAGGAGAAAAAAAAAAAGAGCCCTATTAATTGCCGGAGACTTTACACACCGGGATGACTGAACGCCGCTCCTAATAGGCCGAGGTAGGCCCGAGCCGAGACCCGCGAGAAGGTTTTATGGCTTTTAATGAATTTATGTTTCTCCACCAGCCTCCTCACTTTGATTTACAATTAGGAGGGAAACCCCGCAAAGAGGTCTCCAGATAAAAAGCCAATAATATATATTAAATGCACGTATGGAATAATAAAACTCATGTTTCGGCTTATTCCCCACCCTCGCTGGCCTTGTCAGGTCGTTAATTTTGACAGAAAACACAGTTCCTGTTTTTCCCTCCAAAAATCTCTCAGCTGTTCACCCAGGGACAGCTGTTGCCCTCTGGAACTAATTACAGCTGTCTGTGAGATTTAGGCCCCCCGCCTCCCCTCCCCCCCTCCGCGTACAACTCAGATATTGCTTCTAATTTTTAACGCGTACAGTTGGAAGATGTCATAACACCAGGCTGCTTTTCAGAGAGCCATGAAAGCAATCGCTGCTCACAGCTGCTACCGGGCAACAATGGCGCACGCTGCATTAACCGCTTCTCTGCGGGATACCAACCAAAAGCACGTTTTATTTTTCATATTCTGAACCTGACCCGGGAAGTTGTCATAAAAAAATTTATTTTGGCTTTTTTTTTTGCTTTCATTATCATTAATATGATTTAAGATATGTACACACACACACACATATATACATATATATATACAGGGCTTGAAAAATTTTAGGGTGTCTTACCAGTCAGTCAAAAATTTCACCAGTCAGCATGGCCGGACTATCGGCCTTGCACTTTATGTTAACATTTTTTTGGGACAGGTAGAGCTTTCTTTTGGAGGTATATAATCACCTACTTTATTTTTTTTATGATTCTATAATTTTTGTATTACTTTATTTTTTTTGACACGCAACTTTATTACTATTACATCGGGATCTAAGAAGCCCCCTATATAATAGCCAATTTACATGACAGGTCCTCTTTATGGAGACATCAGGGGTCTCCAAGACCCCCAGAGAAGCTGATGAAGCAGAGATCAGCTTCTGTAGCTGGAGAGTGACACTGAATGCAGGAAGTGATGTAAAATACATCACTTCCTGCATTCGGGGACTGAGAGGAGATCAAAGGGAGTTTGTATTACTGAACTCCCTTTGATCTCCTGTAATAGAGCCGTGACGGTCCCGGCCGCATCGGGCACAGCGGATCTCGGGACCGGAAAAGGCAGTGACACTTGCTCCTATACAAGTGGTCAGGCATCTCTAGAGACGCTCGATCGCTTGACTGTAAAGCTCCCGGCCGGCCGTGTAATTACAACGAGTGGATTTTTCAAGCCATGTATATATATTTATATATATATACATACACACACACAAAAATATATATATCTATAGATACAGGTGAAACTCGAATTAGAATATCGTGCAAAGTTCATTTATTTCACTAAAGCACACACACACACAAAAAAATCATAATAAAAAAATATATAGTGCATACATACTTGGGGGAATTTATCAAAACTGGAGCAGACTGAATCTGGAGCACCTCTCTTCAGTCTGTTCAGTTAAGTTTTGAAAATGAAAGATAGAAGCTGATTGGTTGCTCCAGTTTTGATAAATTCCCTATATGTATTTTTTAGGGATGCACGGATACTCAGTATTTGGGCGAGTACTCATACTCGCCCAAATACTCCCGCTGCTTTTTCCGATATCGGGACTTCCGGTATCAGGAAGCCGGGGGGGGGAGAAGTCATTACAGGTTGCCTGGCATCCTGATTGGCCAGGAAGCCGTCTCCATGCTCCTTCGTCACTGAACAGGAACCAAAGGGGAAATCTTCCAATAGGGACACTTGTTCCTGTGACAGCTAAGAAGGGAATTTTCCTCACATTGGAGTGATATCATCCCAAATTGAATTTTACTGTTAAATACCTCAATTGATAATATGCTTTCAGTAAATTCAGAAGATCTGTGCACTTATACCTTACCTAAATCCAGAGCTCTAACTACAGATCTCGGGGGCCAAATAGCAAAAATGTGACGGGGGCCCCCCTGATGACCTCTCTCTGAGCGGTGAGTAACAATGCCAAGATCCCAAAGACTCCTCTTGTGCATCTGAAGTCGTCTCTACACTGTACACTTTACAGGAGATTAGAGTTGTCATCAACTACAGCCACTCCATCCATTAATGATACAGTACTCTGTTACCTTCACATGTTCTGTGTTTAGTTTGCCTCAAAAACCTGATGGGGCCCCTTCCACCTCCAGGCCCCATAGCAGCCTAAGCTGCTCTGGTTATAGCTACGCCAATGTTTAAATCCTTGTAGGTGCTTTGCAGTCCTTGCAGACAAGCTTTACACTGCAACTGTACCTATGTGCCACGACAAGCCACACAGAACCTCATCGTGCCATCTGATAGAACGGCTTATCTTATAAAAGTGTAAAAGGTTGGCCCCATTTTCAATGCTGCTTATTCCCTAAATCTGCATTGCAGATGTCTCATGTGACCATTGTAGATACAAGTAGCTTTTATTCCAGTTCATAAACCTGTTGTCGTTTCCCTCTACCCCCTGCAGGTGGATCCGGGGAGAACATTACCGCTACAAGTTCAGCCGTATATGGGGCGCACACTCCTCCGAGGGCAAGTGGTGGATTCGGAAAAGGATTGCGCAATATTTCCCGCCACTCAATCTGGCGGGCCTGAAGAAATATTTCAAGTCCCGCTCTTGGGCTCTGCCGTCTGCGTCCTGACAGAAGGCGGCTTTATTTTCCAACCACTTTTCGGGTTATATGTGTAATTTTATACTTTTTATAGCGCTAAATTGGGTACCTCTTAGCCCCCTCTGAGTGTGGGGATTCGTATCTCTATGTTACAGTTAGTCTTACTACTGCTCTCTTCAAGTATACCTGACGTGACAGAGCTGATTTACTAAAGGAGTTGAGAGTCTTCACCTAATAAAGTGTGTGAATAATCACTTCAATTTTTTAATCATGTGAAAAGCAAATTCATGTTCACTATAGGGCCCGTAACACACCATATGTGGTGGACTGTGGCGGGCAGCCTTGCCCAATGCAGTCCCAACACAGACAAGGCAAATTACCTTATGTCTTATTAGTTCAGTTCACACCACTGTGCTCTGGGAGTGCGCTGATTAAAAGAAGGTCCTTTTTTTTTCACCACAGTGTACTACACCCGCCTCACAACATGCTGCAGTGAAAAAACAAATTAAATGTCATTTTGTGACATTTCAATAAAGTTAAAAAAAAACAGTGTGATGCGTCATTTTACAACTCCCTTAGTAAACGAGCCCTTCTGTATCAGCAAAGGCCATGCTGTGCTCTGAGCCATTAACGCAGGGGTGGGCAACTCCGGCCCTCCAGCTGTGTTTTACATCCCATCATGCCTGTGGCTGTCAGTCTTGCAATGCCTCATGAGGTTTGGACTTCCACAACTCAGCACTGCATTAACCCAACCTGTGAAACGCTACACAGATGTTCCTCGCTTACCGACTTACCTGTTTTGCGACCACTCGCACTTACGACGGTCCGCCGATCAACCTCCGACCTTGCGCGTCAGTGCGCCGTGCCGCCGGCGGAAGTGGTGTCCTCCGAGCTTCACTGCGAGTCCCGGTAAGTATTTCCATTGCCCGATGTACAGTACACTGTTCGGTACATCTGCAACGCTATACAGTACTGTACTAATGCAGCACAGTACTGTATAGAGTTCCTCACTTAACGACCAATCGGTTTAACGACCTGGTCATAGGAACGGAACTCGGTCGTTAAGTGAGGAATACCTGTACTGGAGGAACACAGTGAGCTTCATGGATTAAAGTATCCTTGAGAGGAACAAGTCTTGCTGCCCCTCAAATACTCTCTTTGTCCAGGTAAGAAGTATGGGGAGAGTGAGAGTGACATAGTTACACTTTAAGTCCAGTAAATCTTTATTTCACCCAATAGGCCAACTTGTTTCAGGGGCACAATACTCCCCCGCAGGGGCGTAACTAGAAATCACAGGGCCCCATAGCAAAATTTTGTATGGGGACCTGTGATTTCTAGTTACACCCCTTGAAGAGCCCACATAGCTCACCTGAGGGTGACCCTGCAGAGCCCACCATAGACTCTCCCATAGCGACCCAGGCGGCCCGCACGGCATCAGGGGGGGTGTCCTGGCCGGGCCCCCCTGTGCCCGGGCCCCATAGCGGCCACCTGGGTCGCTATGGCTATTGTTACGCCACTGCTCCCCCTTCATCAGGGCTGGGAAACAAGGTCATGTAAAATAAAAATCTAATGATGATGATTCAGCTATATCCAAAAAAAGTCACACACACAAATATTTCATTGGACCGCCCCTTATCTGTGATGACGGCATGCAGTCCCCATGGCATTGTTTCAATAATCTTTTGCAACATTTATTTCCATCCGGAGTTGCATTAATCTCTCGCCAACATCTTGTAGTGATGATGGGAGAGTCAGACCACTGTGTAAAGTCTTCTCCAGCACATCCCAAAGATTCTCAATGGGGTAAAGGTCTGGGCTCCATATGTGAAAATGATGTCTCATGCTCTTTCACAATGTGAGCCCGATGACTCCTGGCATTGTCACCTTATAATATACCCAATGTGGGTAGAAAACAATCCATTGATGGAAAAACCTGGACATTCCGTATATTCAGGTCGGGAGCTGACCTCATTTTATGGGCATAAAACGTTGTTGAACCGAGACCTGACCTACTGGAGCAACCCCAGATTATAACAATGCCCGAAATCCAGGTGATTACTTTTTGGGGGGGCCAGGCAGTGTATAGAATTCCTATAATAACACATCTTGGCATTAATACATTTCGAGGTGTGTCTATGTGGATACATGGAAGCATTGCAAAATGTCTTAACTTTATTAAGACATATATTATTTATTTGATGTTGTTTCTCAGCCCTGATGAAGGCGGAGCATTGAGCTCCTGAAACACGTTGGCCTTTTCTTGTGGCCGCCTGTCATGGAAGTTTAACCCCTTGAGGACCAAGCTTCAGAAGCTTGTTTTTCAGTTAAGGACCATAGCAATTTTTGCTGTGTGTGTTCAACCGCAATGTCCATCTTTCTCATATATTGCACCAACACACATTATATACTGTATATATACATTATATACTGTCATTTGATGTGACATAGGCATATATAAGTTCTCATTTAGTGCATGACGGAAGCTTAAACCAGTGCAAAACTTAAACTGCGCTGGAGACACCTTAGCCAGCAGAAGTTTCTTCCTTTTCTGGATAATATCCTTTGATGTCTTAGGCCCTGTTCACATGAGTTTCAGGTCCGGATCTGCAGACGCGGTGCTAATGATGCAGTGCGTTTCTGATGCGTTCCAGTAAAAAAAAAAATGTTTTTTTTTTTTTGCTGGAGTGGGGCTGTTAGTATGTTAGCTGCAGTGCAGTGCGTTTTGGACGCGTTTTAGACGCGTTTGCGTTTTCTGACCGTACAAAATGTGACATGCAGTATTTTTCTGTCGTAAGCTGAACGGACTGCGCACGTGATAACTGTAGCCCATAAAACACATAGGGATACATTGGGATGCATTTTTAGTGCAGGAGCGTACGGATCAGGTCAGCACAGAAAACGGATGTCGTGTGAACCGGCACTAAGTCCATAAATTTAGACACAGCTGGCAGGTGATCCAAACTGATGATGCTCAACTCAAGTCCGGTTCACACCGAACGCATGAGGTCCATGCATTTAGCACAGTGCACCGTAGCATTCATGAATGGCACAGCAACCCACCTCCCACTGCAATGAACAGTACCCCAATAGTGTGCCGTGCAGTGTTATAAAGTGATGCTTGCACTGCTACCAGAAGGTACGTGGGGTACCATATGAATGAATAGCAATGCGCCTAGCACGTGGTACAATGCACTGTGCAGTAGGATGCGTTAAATGCACGGATCCTGTGTGTTTAGCGCACTACTATGGTGTGAACTGGCATATCATCCTTGGGTGGGGTTGGCCTTAAACTATGAAATCACACACGTTGGATTGTGCCCGGATCGGCCAGGGTAGAGTCTGGCTCTGGTCCATAAGCACCGATGGATTGTGGGACATACTGCTGCTTTCACTAAGCAGCAGTTGTGTTGGCCGAATGCTCAGCGGTATTGTGCTATGTGCGGCGATTCCCTGGAAAACATGTCCCAGCTGTTGTGTTCTGTGCACATCATAAAATCCTAAAGCCCTTCTGCTGGAATTCCGTCCATGAGCTGCATGCTTATCAAGAAGGCTTTTATAAAAGGGGGGGGGTTATACAGTCTTCGAGGGGCATGCGGCCCAATCACCAAAACAACATTAAAAGAAAAGGTATATTTTGTATAATTCTGGAAAATGTTGATTTGTTTTTCTATAAAATAAGAAATATATAATAAAGATTTCATTCAGTTGCCGATGCATTATTAGTGTGTGCCTCGTGTGGTGTCTCGGATCTGCCAAGTGTCTGATGCTACCACTGTGTTGTCTATTCATCTGAAGGGTGAATATCCACATGGAACTGGCAG